ATTGTCCTGTCTTAACATCCCATATACGAATAGACTTATCATCACTACCAGATGCTAATATAGTACCATCAGGTGAGAAGCTGACTGAATTTACACAGCCACTATGACCATTCATTTTCACTTTTTATTGCCCTGTCTTAATATTCCATAAACAGATAGTTTTATCCGCACTGCCAGATGCTAATGTAGTGCCATCAGGTGAAAAGCAAACTGAATTTACTTAACCAGTATGGCAATCTAATTTAGCTTCTTATTGACAAATCTTAACATCCCATAAATGGATTGACTTATCTGCACTACCACTTGCTAATATAACATTATCAGGTGAGAAGCATACTGAATACACACTATCACTATGACCTCCTAATTTGACTTTTTATTGTCCTGTCTTATTATCCCATAAATGAATTGAGTTATTTGCATTCCCAGATGCTAATGTTGTACCATCTTTTGAGAAACATAATGAATTTACACAACCGTTATGACCATCTAATTTAGCTTTCTATAGTGTTGTCCTAACATCCCATAAACAAATAAAGTTATCTGAACTACCAGATGCTAATGTTGTACCATCAGGTGAAAAGCATACTGCATTTACTCCACCATTATGGCCTATTAATTTAGTTTTTTATTGTTTTGTAAAAACATCCCATAATCTGATCGTCTGATCCTCACTGCCAGATGCTAATGTTGTTCCGTCAGTTGAAAAGCAGATTGAATTTACAGAACCATTATGACCTTTAAATTTTGCTCTTTATTGCCCTGTCCTAGTATTCCATAAGCAGATAGATTTATCTCCACTACCAGATGCTAAAGTAGAACCATCAGGAGAGAAACATACTGAAATAACTGACTAACTATGTCCTTATAATTTCAATATTATTTTTCTTGTCCAAATACTCCATAAACAAATAGTCTTATCGTAACTGCAAGATGCTAATGTATTACCATCAAGTGAGACGCATACTGATCGCACATTATCGCTATGACCATCTAATTTGGCTTTTTATTATCCTGTTTTAATATCCCATAAACGGATAGACTTATCTGCACTACTCGATGCTAATGTTGTACCATCAGAGGATATGCACACTGAATAAACATTACTAATGTGACCTTCTAGTTTATATAATTCATGTATTTATATTCTATTCCATTTACAATTAAATAACTACGCTCCATTTAAATTCATTCCACTAATATCGACATTTTCGAATTGAGATCCACTCAAATTGCATCCTACAAAGTTAGCACCAGTTAAAGATGTATCCTTAATCTTGATATTTTCAAAAACTTTTCCCCTCAGATCAACCTTCATTTAAATCAACAAGTTAAGTGAATTAGAACCACATTAGATAAATCTATTATCTAAACTTGTAATGTGAACTAGAAATTATAAAAATTCAAAGATCTTCTTATCTTCTTAAATTTTTTCAATTAGTTCTAATCTAATTGTTCTGTACTTTTGTTATGAATAATTATTCTTATTAAAATCATGATTGATAATTTTTTTCATAGTTTAAGTAATTTTCTAAACACTTCCCTTTTCTTTAAATTTATTTTCCTTAGCCAAAAGGGGTATATTTTCCTCTTGTATATAATATTATTCGATTCGTCTTTAATTTTCAGTTATTGTAAGAAATTCTAAACAATCTTGAATTTTCTCTCTTTTGAATATTTTAAATATGACTTTCAAGATTGATTCATCAATATCTTTTAACTCAGCTAAAATCTCACTCAAACCTTCTTTCTACTGATATTTGCAATTCATTTTCTTTTTTTAAAAATAACATTAAATTTCTATTATTTATTACGTCTTTTCTAAGAATCAAAATTAATAACCGATAGTTCAAAATTTTTAAGGTTTGAAATTCTTTGAGTAAATTTAAATTGAGTGAGAAGCAATATGTACAAGATGAATGAACAATAATAAATTTGAATATAATGTTCATTTATATATAACCAAAGTAATTTCCAAAATGAAAATTGTCTAATTTAAGATTCTTCAATCTAAATATTTCAAAACATATTAATTTCATGCAATTTTTTCAATGTTTAATGGTTTTGGGGCAACGAATCAAACACATTTTACCCTAATATTTTTGTTTTACTTTTAATAAGTGGTTATTAATTATTTTACACTTCATATTCTATAATCGTAGTTATTTTTTTCTAAAAAACTTAATCATTCTTAACATTCTAACAATTTTAATAAATTTTCTTTTTATTAATACTGAACTCAAGTTTGACTAAATAATCTAAAATTTACATTAAACCCAACTACAATAAGACTATTTATATTTATATAATCCTTAAGTTCAACAAATAAAAATGTTTATGGAAAGAAATCTGAACCAATGCTAGAACTTTAATCATCGGTATTATTACCTCGATAATGATCCTAGTCAAAACCCCTACCAAAATCAAACCAAAGTAGCTTTCGGATAGCATTTTTTCTTTTGCTTTTTCAAACAACTGCCCTATTCTTATATCTTAAAATTTGATTCGGCATAATTAATATAAGTAATAAAACATAAGTAAAATTAATGAATGAGAAATGTTATCATTTATTAATTTTAACAATTTTATCATAATAATAGATCGTTGGATTACAAAATAATTTTTTTAAATTATTTCGATTATACTCTCCAATTAAGTTGGATTTAATCGAAAATCAATTCTTATATTCTAAACCTTTCTTTTAATGAGCTTTTAAAATTGCTAATTTGCTTTGGGTGAATTCTATTCAAATTATGAGTAAAGTTACCATTTCTTCAAATTCCTTAATAAATCATAAAAATTTGATGATTGAATTCTAACTCCAAGATAGAAGTACTAAAGAAAAAAGATTTAATGGATTATATGTTTAAATACAACATTTATAATGAGAAGTATCAGTTAATTGAAGCATTATTGAGAGATATATATCTATGAAAAAAAATGTGTTAAAAATCCTAGCTTTCTTAACCCATATAATCAGACATGATCCTTCCTTCAATCAACTCAGAGCAAGTCCCTCTCCCTCCAGAAATGGGTATTATTGTAATTAAAATACACAAATATTTGCTTTGAATATTTTTGTTCAACTTTGGTTGATCTGAACTTCTTTACTTATTATCGTCCTTATGTATTTTCTATCATTAATTAGCCTAATTTAAGTAATCAAGGTAAGATAACTTTTTTTGGATTGCTTATCAATAAGATCAATAAGATTTTAATAATTATTCCAGAAGGATTTTTAAAAAAGATCCCTGTATCTGTCACTACTAAATATTAAATTTAATTTTGGCTTCTCTTAATTTCAAATATATTTTATAATTAAATTATTTTTATTCAATTTATAAATTGTTCTCATAACTAAAAATTGTGTTTTTTGTAACAGTGAAATGAATAGAGCCTTCCATGAAGAATAAAGTAACTTAAATTTAAAAGCTAGCCTTATTAATGATTTAGCCTTTTGTGAATCTGATAAGAATTTATTCATTTATTTGATTGAAAATAAATTATATCTTAAAATAAAAGTGAATAATGAGCTTGGGTTTGGGTTTGGGGTTTGGGTTTGGGTTTGGGGTTGGGGTTGGGGTTGGGGTTGGGGGTCA